GGACTATCAGTGAGTCAGTGGGGGATGAACCCATTAGCAGGCATTATTCTGAAATTACATTTATTATCCGTTTTGTGGTTCCAAGTAGTTCAAATCATACCCATGGCTCTGAACTTCCTGACATTAATGCCCAGATTCATTTAAATGTCCATTACGTATAACTTACCTTAGTTATTTTTATGCTAAAAATATTATTTAATTAGTAGTAAGAGTAAAAACCCAGCTTATTTCATAGCGCATGTGACCTTTGTCTTAGCTTGTCCCTAGTTCTCCATTGGCGCGTTATAAAGGCATGAGGGGTACATGTAGGAGTATACGTGTCGTTTCATTACATACGTATTTACATTTTTATCTCGTGTACACGTTTAAACATCACCCTCTTCCTGTGCTTGCACATCCCCCTCAGCCCTTTTTATTTTATCTAACAGACATAATTGCAGAGGACCTTATGAATTTCTACACGTGTGCTAAAGAATAAAAATGATTTTCAAACTTAGTACAGAATGCAATTAACTTTTATAGAAGACAGTATGTACCTGCCAAGTGGGTACTTTGAAAATGAAATTGTTTTTGATTGTGTGAAACTGCTTGAAAATGTGATTCTCCAAAGCTTTCTTTTTCTTATGGCAAGAAAACAGGGATATGCGAATTCATTATAATTATGCACACGAGCCCAGTCCTTCCTTTTCTTCTCTTCTAAAAACCAAAGCTTAAAAAAACCAAAGTTTCTTTGGCCCAAGAGCCGTTGTAAGACATCTGTATGCCCTGGGTTTTAGTGGGAAGGGCCTGCTAGTGGCAGCTCCGAGTAGAGGAGTCACCACCGTCACCAGAGGTAGCAGGCGTTAGGGTATCCCTGTCACACACCTTTCTTGTGCAAGGCGACACTTCCCCCTGCCACCCCCGCTGCTCAGGCTTGCAGTATAATGAGTTTACATTATGGGCTAAAACTCTAAAAAGAAAGCGCTGGTTTATTCTGACAACGTGTCTGATTGAATGTCAGGGGCAAAATAGCCACAACAGAGCGTTGTTGTCAGGGGCTGTTGCATAGCAGCTGCTGGGTTTGCGAAAATGCCACCACAGATTCCTGATTCCCACGTATAGTCTGGTTTGTCATCTCTTTCGACTCTTGTCCTTGCCTTTTGGAATTGGGTGGTATGTTTCTGGAAAAGGCTGATTAAACAGGGAGTTTCCAACGCAAAGTATTTGATAGTGTAGGTGCGGATTTAGAGGGAAAGCCAAGTATGCTCATTTTTGTCAGCTCACGTGGCAGGGATGCTAATTTAATGATCTGCTTGAGATGTGAGAGCTTGGAGCAGTAGCTTGCAGGAGAGCAAGGTCATCAGAACTGGCACTCTGGCTACTCCGGTTTATAGAAACACCTTTCAACTCAGGTTCTGACTGAGACACCCCCAATTAAGATAACTGGTTTATTCTGAGCCGTACTTCTGAAAGTTGAGCACGTTCCAGAGTCACCTACAAGGTTTGCTGGCACCCGCATTGCTAAGCCCCATGCCCAGGGTTGCGATAGGGTTGGTCTGGGGCGAGTCCCAGGAGTTTGCATTCCTCACAAGTTCTCATGCGATGCTGATGCTGTTGGTCTGGGGGCCACACTTTGGGAACCACTGCCCTGGGAAGCATTTGTCCCTGGTTCCAGGTGTTAGGATGTAGGGCTGAGGAGTTTGCTGGGGAGGGAGGTGGGAAAAGATGGAAGAATGCTGATCATCTCGCTTAGGGTTTACCTAGGAGTGTTGGCTTAAGAATTCTTCCAGTGTATTACAAAGCTAGGGGATATTACTAATACTACTTTTACATACTGCTTTTATTAACATTACTTTTATTATGGAGAGAAGGTAAGGTTAGGAGGAATTTGATTATTTCCTGACACTGGCCCCCTGTCCCCCATCTGGTTCCTGCCTCTTGCTTGGACCTGTGCCCCCTTCGCCCTCCCTAGAATACAGATATGGATGGTCATACTGTAACTGTCTTTCAGCACTGAGAGCAACAGGGAGCCGGTGTGTGAGGCTTCTCGGAAAAGTTGTGACATTGGTCAAGATTACCATGACAATGGAAACCTTATCCTTTGGGCTTTTACTTATTCAGATTTTGCAGCGGTCAGGATGGTTCTTGGGTTGAAATGTACCTTTGCAGTATTTCCAAAGCAGATCAGCGAGTGAGTCCAGGATATTGCCCAGGAAATTTAAATTACTTAATGAAAGACTGCTTTCAATTTATTCCAGTACTTCCACGTAATATGATTGCTTTATAATTAGAAATTAATCTTATCTAATTATTTACCTAAGCTGCTTTTAACTTACGATTAGTATAACTAAGGCTTCATTGCCTTAGGAATATGAAGTTTAGATTTCTTTACTTACTCAGGTAGAATTTTCACCCATTTAATTCAAATGACTGGTTTTGTTTTTTAATGTGAAACACAAAATTATATCTACTCGGTGTTGCCTGTTAGTTTCAAGCCCAGCATTTATTTTGGGGCATTTATGTATATACCTGGTACCGTTTGTATTCAGTGGACAAAAGAAAATGTGGCCTTCAAAGAAGTTCTTTTAATATTGTTCTTAAAGCATTTTTTCAGATGTTGCTTTTCTTTGAAAAATGCTCTGTGGTCAGATTTTCCTAGAATAAAATATCCCACCAGGTAAAGGCTTTAAGAGACCTAGGACATGCTTACTCAATGAAATGCAACGGAGCAGAAAGTATCTGGTCTACCAGCCCAAGAAAATTATGATTTTCCTGATCTAATAGTTAAAGACAATTATATAATTTAAAGAGTTGCTGTTACATAAACGTTAAATTATTAGGAGTAGATTGTCATCTTTTGTAAAATTCTGTGTTGAAGTTTTGATCTGAAGGGATTAAAGTCTGTTAATAAAGAATTGCTTGGAAGCAAATATGAAGCTGTGTTGGAACTTCTGTGCTTTTTTCCCAACCCTTGTCCTCTTGGTGTGAAGACCAGTCTGAGTCAGACCATTGAGGATTAAGGATGAATGCATTACTCAGCATCCTGCAGGGGTTGGGTCAAGCACCCTGGCTCCGAAAAGTTACTCTTTTGCTTGGTAAGCATAGACATTTCAGGTCAACTGCAGAATGAAAATTCAGTATTCTGTTGATTAGCACAATCTACTTGAAAACGGTCTCTCACTCTTCCAGATGTCCTTCCTCTCTGTTCTTGTAGAACAGTGTCTAAAGTCATTGACTGGATTGCCAGTGGATTTTACCTACAGCAGCTATGTTGCCAGAGACCTTCGTTCCCCTGAAACATTGCTGATGAAACCATCCCTTGACTTGAATAAGTTAAGGGGGAAGAAGGGATACGCTCATTTTAGCCTTGCAAGTGGGAATGTAGGAAGTAAGGGGAACCTGTGATGACACTATTTTGAGGCCGAGAATGGGGATTCTGGATCAGATGCTCACTAAGGAGAAATATCCTTGATTAAAGTGTTAGCTAGAGAAGGGAACACAGATGGCTTCTTGGGTTGATTGGAACGAAAGGCGTCCGAGGAAGGATTGCAGAGGCCTGGGGGGAGGACGGCTAGACCTGTGTCCTGGGGCCTGTCTCGCAGGGAGAGGAAAAGGAAAGGGCACTGGGCAGATTAGGATGCGTATAAAAGGGCTGTGACAAAAACCAAACCGAACCAGGGGTGCATTTCTTTTTAGGCTAATTGGTTTTGATGTTTCTTTCAAAGTTTAACTGATCTTCAAATAGAGACTGGCAGTAAGGCTTGAACAAGTTATTGGGGATGTTTCATACTTTCCGTATCACCATGTTTGTGCTCTACCCTGGACGTGGCTAAAGCGTCATCACCATGCCCATCACCATCGACTAGTGTTGATGAAATGCAAACCAGAGTCTCTGAGATTGTGAAAAGAAGTCTTTACGATTTCCTCTTGCTTTTCCAGGTAGCCCAGCCATGACCCACAGGAATCTGACTTCGGCCAGCCTGAACGACATTTCTGATAAACCGGAGAAGGACCAGGTAAGCAAAGAATTCTTGCTTCTTTGAAATGTAAGGCTCACTGTATGTCTAGAAGATGCTGGGAAAAGATCAGAAAGAACCAGTATGTGTAGATGGGTTTTCTGCACTTTTTCCGAGATAAGAGGAGGCAGCGTGCGAAGAGATTTGGCGTTCAGAACACGAGAATCGGCGTCTTGACTGCAGCCTTCACAGATGTGTTCTCTCGGGCAGTTTAATCTTGTAACTATATTTGTATCGGCTTAAAATAGTAAAATAATCCCTACCTCAGGGTTATTGAGAGGACTAAGTAAGATACTTCTATGAAAAAGTGCATTGATAAAAACGAACTAAAAAATTCTGGCAATTGTTTACTCGCGGGTATACTTTTGGGAAAGGTGATGTAGTTTTATTAGCTATAGGTTTGTCTATTAAAACATATAGGTAGTCTGTTTGAAATGTAGAGCAATTAGGGTTTGAATCTCAATTTTCTTTCTTTAAAAAAAAAAATACGGTAGAAACTGAGCCATTTTCCCAGTTGGGAGAATATCTGGGTAGATAATAGAAAATGGTGAGTGGGTATAATTTTGCATTTTACTTTAAAAACCAAAATCAATTGTTTGGACTAAATGGGTGAAAATTCTACCTGAATAAATTAATCTGAGTTATTTATTTCTAAGGCACTGAAGCCTTCTTTATGCCGATGCTCCTTTTTACCTGGCAACACTTGTGAAAAGCACAGGAAAGAGGAAATTAATGTTCTTTCTTGTGAAGTCGCTTTTGGAGTCTTCCTCCCTTCTTCTCACCAGCATCACCCTAATAGGGCCATTATCATCTCAGACTGGGCCGCTAGAAAAGCCTTTGGAGCTCATGCCTCGTCTCTGTTTTCTTGCAATTTAATGTTCTTGGTAAAATATTGCCCTTGCATTTCTGCCTTGGATTAAAAGCTTATAATGGGGGGAGGAGGGTGAATAAAAACTTTTTAAAAGTAAAAAAAATTAAAAAGCTTATAATGACTTTCTCTCAAGTGAAGTTCCGAATTGCCTATATGACTTTTAAGATGCTCTGAAATCTGACGTTATCCTTTTCATCTTAATTTATTTTTGTTTCTTAGAAGAGGGACTCTCTGCTTTGGCCAGGCCTAATTTCCTCCCCTCTTTACATTGAGATTAATTCTTGACACCTAGATCTACTCCCCCTTCAAATGCTAATGTGGATAGCTCCACTCCACTCCCTTTGCCTGCCTCTTGAAATGATGGGGAGGAGATCATTAAATATGGGTTGCATTGGTAGATACATACCAGTAGCAGAAAAGGGAAACTCAGCCCACTAGGACTTGTTGAGAATTTCCCTCAACACTATTTTGCACATCTCTATTCCATTCAGTATTTTTCAAGCAACATATAAAAAAAATAATACTTAACATTTTTAAGCATTTATTATTGGCTAGGCGCTGAGCTAAGAATTTATGCATGTCCATTACATGATGTTGGTACTATTTTATAAGTGAGAAAATTTAGGCTTAAAAAGATTAAATAAATGTTCTAAATAGTGATTTTGACTGTAGAATCAATAGGAATGCTCAGAAAAGACCACTTAAGGAATGCCCCCTAGAAAAGTACTTGGCTAACTATGGGCTTCAGGGGCTCAATAGCCATGGTTTACATTATAGACTTTCAGGGGTCATTAAATTGAAATAAAAAATAAAAAATATAGGGAACCAGCATAGAGCCACAAGTTTTACATGTGATTATATGTGATTTCTTTTTACAAGTGTGTCAAATATGAATTCAATAGCACCCACTTGCTCTGGCTCTTGATTGTCACTTATACTGTATGGCAATAGAAGTGGAGAAACCCTAAAGCTATTTCTGATTCCCTGGGGAAACTGAGAGGAACATAGCAGACTAGCTACGTGATTGTGATCCAGATATGAGATGGTGATTGATAAAAATAGTGGGACCTTCATTCATTCATTCTTTGACTAATATTGCTTGAACAGTTATGCTATGCCAGCTTCTGTGTAAGGTATCAAGCAACACTCTAATTATGAGGTTTGCTGGAGTCTGTATTCTGGATAAGGCAGAGTTAGGATTATCTGGTTGACAGACTCTTTGAGGAAGGCTTTTTTAAAAATTAGGGACAGTTCTTCTCTGGCCAGGAATTTGTCAATAAGCAGCTGATAAATGCTGAGAGAAATTTCTTACCTTCTTGTCTCTCTTCATATCTGGGCATATGCAGAAATGGCTTCAGATGTGTCTCACACAAGATTCTGTGTTAGAAGAAATAGGCTGGACATTATGATTCTGGGGTGTTGATTTTCCTACAAAACCTGTGCGATGTCCTTGAAACCAGAATCTTTGTTGTTGCCTATCACTAGCATCTCATATTTATCAAGATCCATGGTAAGATGAAACTCAGGGAGATTTAATTCAGGAGTTTTGTTCTTTTTGTTTGCAAAGCCCGAAAATGAAGTTGATGGGTATGTCATTATAAGAGCAACTATCCATCTTCGTTTACCTAATGTAATCACCATGGTTAATGCAGTGAGCTCATCACCCCCCTAAAGAGGAAGAAGCTCCATTCTTTGCTTCCCAGGGAAGTGAAGAGAAGCTTTGTAACTGGCCACGATCTCTTCTACAACCCAAGGTAGACTAGGAACTCAAACTAATAGTTCCAGTGTCTATTCCGACTATTTTAGTGACTTCAAATACAAAGGGTGCTAAGAGGAGAATGGGCTTGCAAAGAAGACCAAGCTATGGCAAAAAAAATAACAACACAATAAACCTGGGCTTTTATTTTTTTAACCTGCTTTTTTTCCTCTGTTTGGGTAGGCAAAAAAGGTTGCCAGGCTCAAATTTGTTTTGAAGAAGCTTTTATAATTAATTAGCCAATGTCCTGGAAATGATGCTGGCAGTAAAGTCAGACTTGTTCTTGTACGCTTTTCCAAGTTGGCCCAAACAACTCGCATCCGCCTGGAACGCGAGTTCCTGATAGACGGACTATTCTGCCTGGATACGGCTCGAAGGGCTGCGAGGTGCCTCATGACCTCCTGGAGCTGTGCGACTTCTCAGTAGCACAAGAAGTGGGTTCAGCGTGCAGAGTTATGAATAGGGGCAGAATTTCTCTTTCTGTCAGCCACATAGTGACAGGATTCAAGGGCCTGTTTTTTTATGAGATTCTGTTTTGGGAAAACAGGAGAAACAAATCTGGGGACTTTTCTCCCCGGCTCTGCCAGGCCCGTGTGCTGATGATTTCAGTGGCGGCTGCCGTGTGGAGAAGTAGCTTAAAATAGTTAACAGCAGAAGGAGAGCATAGCCAACGTTTAGGTGATTCAATGCTTCAACAGTATTCCAACTTGGATGTTATATTTATTAAGCAGAAAAACACCTGGGGAGAAGTATACTTAAAAAACCCCCCACACATCTGGAGCTCATCTACTTGTAAATCTGCATAAATAACCCCTCCTATTTTGTTGCTATGGAAAAGTTTATCTTTCGTTATCCAGTTATCTTCCCCAATTACCTTCGATTGATTAGCTTTTCTTTCCCCTTTATTCCTTTTCTGTTCTTTTAAAAATGTGCACATGCAGTGGGTGCTTGTCAAACATGATGGGTTTAGCTCTCAGTTTCCTGGAGTATGGATTGGAAAAGTTTTCTCACCATGTTACCTCTTCACTTTAACTCTGGTGAAGCGCTGTGCTCGGTGGTACAGTGACTTTCAAAGGGCTTGGCATTCTTTTCCCCGGGTTTATCAATAATGCAATGACATCTCATAGTTGCCTGACCCACCGTAAGGGGAGTTGCTGTCCACAGACTGCAGCAGGCATAGTAGTTGCAGAAATACCTTAGGGTCTCGGGACGCTCGGGGCTCACGTCACCGTGGAACTTCCTACCTGGTTATCGCTTCCGCGATACTCAGCATTGGGCTCGCCCTTCTGAGGTCCTGTACATAGGTCTTCTGGTGGAATTTGGCTTAAGGTTAATTTCTAAAGTGTATTGTAATCATTTTTAGCACTATCTATTGCCTGTTATCTTTAAATATATTTGGCTGTCTTGATTTCTATTTTTGAAGTCTTGGTCTTTTGCAGAAATAGACCTGAATTTAAATATTATGTCAGAGAGTAGGAGCATGGAACCATTAAACCATGTATAAGTTTGAAACTGCTGAGCCATGACTGCCTTAAAATGAAATCTAGAAGCATTTTGTGATTGGACAGCCCCAAATCCTCTTCTGACACATGAGCGAGTCAGCTCCCTTCAGCTGAGATGACTTTTCATTGTTTTGAAGATCTCCATCCGAAGGCTCACATAAAACTTCCCTTAGCATTAATAGCTATTCCGTACTCACAGTGGTAGAAAAATACAATAGCATCTTCCTTTCTTTTTTGTGGCCCAGCCAGAAAACCTTCTGACTCACACTGGGCACTGGCAGTCCCCCTCCACCCCGAGAAGGTGCAGTGGCTAAGGAAGGCTCCTGTTCTCCGAGGCCTTTAGCATGTTCCCAGGGGCCAGTGGAGCGCTGCTGTGCCAGGAGAGCTCCAAATGCAGTGGCACCTGGGCAAACCTGAGAACAAAGGCGTGTTGTGAGGAGGTGGTTACAGTCGTCAGGTGTCATAAGTCTCTCTAGTTTTGATAACAGCAGCGAGCTTCCTGTGGTTCCGTGCCTCAGCTTTCCTTTGCCAGGTGTCCTTGACGGGAACTGCACTGATTACCTTTGGTGTCCCTTTCCAAGGGGATTAGCCTGCCGCTTAGGTAATTAACAGAACTGATGGTTGTCATCATCTTTTCCCTCTCTATAAGAAATTTGCCTTTATATAGCCTTCTTCTCCCATCTGATGCTCTCATGTATTCTTAAAGAATCGACAGTCAGTGGTTATTAAGTGATGTTTGAGAAGCACCCATATTGATACTGATTTTAAGGACCCAAGTTCTTGAACCTATGTCCCAATTAAAATTGGGACAGTTGAATTTTTCCACTTTCATAATGCTATTTTTCCGTGAAAACTATTGATCTGCGTCAGA